GCGGCCGCGATTTCTGATATTATTTTTCTGCGAAAACTTCGTTGACCTTTGGAGACATCATTAATATAAATAATTTTTATGGCCGTTAAATAAGAAATGTTTCTTTCACAAGAAATGTATAAAATTACAGTACTAAACAGACGATAGGTCGCCTAACTCGCCGTAGCGTGACGCTAGACGGCGAAAAGTATATATATAATTATAATAAAGTTACAATAAATTAAGTTAATATATAATTATATATACAGTACCTAATTTATATATCTATATATATAAAGATGAATGTATGGCTGTCTGTGTGTGTGTGTCTGTCTTATGTCCTTCATGCATTACCACGCCGTTTATCCGATTGCCACGAAGCTTTGGGAAGTTTTTTTAATACACTCCCGCGAAGGTTTCTAGCATTTATCTTGCGATAGATAGCGCGCGTTTACACGAGCGTTCGAGCACAGTGTGTACGATCGATTTCAAATTGTGAAGACCATTTCCCCCCTCCGAAAAATATCTCTATATATGCATTTGTGAACTGTTATTTACGATATTTATAATAATTTTTGTTTAATCACTTTATTTCAACTTGTTTTGCTAATTACGTATTCGTTCGAACTTCGTTAAAACCTTAACTGTACCCCGAACAACATCCGAAGTTGTAGGAAGAAATTCGCCTATTTTACCGATCTAAGTATCCCCCCCTTTTCCAAATTTTAATATCGACTCGAAATAATTTAAAAAGACAAATTGCAATAAAACGGTTTATTATCCAACTATAAGAAATTTCACAACATGCCAAGGAAGAGAGGAAGGAGCAATTAAGTAATTAAAATTAAGTAATCTAACTAAATAAAAGATTCAACTAGCCCAGTGTTGAGAAAAACGTCACTTCATTGTGCCTGTACACAATATATATATATATATATATGGGGAATATCGCACTTCCGACAAACGCTGCGAGTGTGTGGGTTAAATTTGGAGAATCCGTGCTTCTCGCGTGGACAACTTTATGTGCCCGGCTCACGCGTTTTAAAACCTTCCGATTTATTCGTGTACGCACCAAACGAAAAAACAAAAAATATCGTGTATCCACAAACACTCCAATAAATAAATAGAATGGAAACGACACTTTGAAATATTTTTCCGACGAAAATGAATAATAACAAGTTTCGATAGAAATAATAAAATGTAAATTTAATTTTATCATAACGAGTTTGCTTGAATTTCGTTTCTTTTGAGATCGCAGCAATGCGAGACGGATAAGCTAGTGTTATAATAAAGTGTTTACATTTTTGCAACAGATAAACTACGCGGGAAGTACGTTCTCGTAAATATCGAATTTATAGAAAAATTATTGGACTGCGATGTTAAAAACTTATAGACCGTAAATTTCGACCGTGTCTGTCCGTCTTTCCTCAATCTCGATAAAGGAGTTAGATGAGGGAATGGCGAGACAAGACGCGGAAAGCTTAGGGGCGGGAGGCCCGGATTAACTACCGCGTACAAGAACTTCGGGTTTGCAACGGATGTCACGTTACTTCCATTCAGAAATTTCTCCCGACAGGCGTTAGATAGATGACCGACAAGAAGTATGATGGTGGGAGCAAAACCACCACTGAAAGAATTGAGAACATCGCGACGACGTTACAATAAATAACCGCTGGTTAGAATTAGTTTGGTTTAATTGGAATTGGTTACGGCAACGCCACACGTCGGCGATCTGCCAGAGGATGCAACGGTTATTTCTCGCGTTGGGAAAGTTCCATATTTCCATCGACTACGATTTCACCAGGATATTTCCATCGGCTACGAAAAGCCACCGTCAAAAAGACCGGGCGTCGCTCCGCTAGACTACGCCGCCAATTTCCGTTCTCGCGCCGTCTCTGCCCCTTTTTCCGAGATTCCGGATTAGCCTGCCGGCCGCGCCTGGCAAAAATTATACCGTCGCGGCCCATGGAACCGGACGGAAATTCGGAGGGCGACGATAAAATCAGCGGGTGGAAAAACAAATAAGAAACGGGCCGACGACGTAGGAAACACTTTTTATTCTTCTAAATAAGTAAAATTCGACGGTGCCACTTCCGTGGGACGTAGACCCGGGTGGTCCAACCCGTCGGATAGTATAAATAGGTAGACGTTTCGGAATCAAGCGAAAGCGCTCATGATTCGCTGCATCCAAGAGGCGTACGACGCTACGCGAGTGTAGACTCCGGGGTAATCCACTTCCGCGCATCCTTTTCCGAACGAAGTGATGCCGATCAGGTGCCATCTACCGTCCACGAAACAGGACAGAGGTCCTCCGGAATCTCCCTTTGGGGAATAAAAACTGTAAGATTCTCCTGTCGACGGGAAGAGTTACGACGAAAAGCCTTACCTGACAGGTTCCTTCCTTTCCTTTAATGTTCCCGGCGCATAGATGAGAGCTCCGGATGGGTATTCCCAAAGCTCTGTATTGTTTGTCGCAAAACTCGTTGGAGTAAATGTTCACTCGGACCACCTTCAAAACGTCCGAACGGTCTAGAGCTAAAACCAACGAAATTTAGAAATCGGACGTTTTATCCACCCCGCAACCGTCTACTTCACTTACTTTTGTCGATTTTTCCCCATCCCGAAGCGAAACAGCTCTCGTTTTTATAGTCTTTCGAAGGAACCGCCAGACAAACGGGCCCGACGTCTTCGTTCGTCTGCACCGGATCTTTCAATTTTATCAGCGCGATATCGTTGGCTTGCGACAGAATATAATTTTTGTGGTAGTGAATGGAAGCTACCTTATACCATTTTTCGTTGGGGTCTACTTTCCGCAGGTCGTGTTCTCCCAGTCTTACCGTCCAGTAAGACGGCTGCACGGCTATGTAACTGTAACTGAAAATAAATTCTGGTCAGCTGCGGCCACCTTAACGGACGTAGTTATACGTTAGTCGTATAAAAAACTGTATACGGCCGAGAGTGGGGTCGGACGAAAACCGCTTACCTCAGAAAGCAATGGGCCGTGGTCAGAATCCAATACCGATTCAGGATAACTCCGCCGCAGAAATGATCGATGGGTCCGATTAAAGGGTGGTTTAGCATGAGCGAGACCTATCGGTGCATTAGACAAAGCATTTAAGTAACCAGAAAACTTACGGTCCCGGTGGCGCGCGACAGAGAATTCTCGTTTTGGCTCTAAAATCGAAAACGCTTTAAGGCTCTAGCACGTTTTGTTAGTTAGGCGCCGGAATTAATTTACGAATCCGCGTAATTCCACCTTGACTTTTATTTATTTATCTTTTGTTTGTTAACTTTTCGACTCGAAAACTCACCTGCCAAGGTATTTCACCTCGACTGGCAGATCTCCCGCCGACGATTCTCGAAGTGAACACGTTCGGCCCTTTATATTTATTCACTCCGCATTCTAAACAAACAGAAATAGAATTAATTACGCGTAACCTTAGGAAATGTAAATTCGACGACGACCAGTAAACGGTGCACTCACCTTGGCAACCGGCCAAACAAAAAATCCAAAGGAAAACTAGAAATTGTAGTCTTGTCATGGTGAAGGACAGTGAGGAACCAGCGGGTGTGTTGCTCTTTATATCTTAACTACCTCCCTCATTATTCAAACCTGATTTTAATGTAGAAAAAAAATGCGAATGTCTAAGATCAAAACTTTTAACGTTTCACAATATTCCGACGCCCAAAATCATTTAAATTCTTTTTTATGACGCAACGTGACTTAACAATAGCCCCCGAAAGGTCGTCGTATTTTACCACGAACCGGCGATGCCGTAACGATAACGAACGAGCCATTTCTGACAACGGCTGCACCCTTCGTAAAGAATGAGCCCATCTTAATTCGCGCATTAAAATTCGGACGAAGAGTAACGAGAAGCGATTCGCAAAATCGGGGAGAATTTGATTTTTCGTTTTATTTTTAGCGCTGGTCTAAATTATGTTGCGCGAAAAAATTTTGAAAAACAAAATGCAGCGAAGATCGTTTTCGTTTATAAGACCTAACTGAATGCCTACAAAATACCTTCGGCATCGAGAGTACCGCGTATGGCGAGCATCGATGTTTTCGAGGATATAAAGACACGTTGTGATCGACAATCTTTGTGGTGTGGACAGAACGCGGTATTTATACATATTCGGAGCCTTAAAACCTGGAAAAAATCCGAATCTTTATTTTTGCTCGTAAAACACCACCAGATAACTACACAGATTCGCTACAGAAACTTCCATTCCGTACACAAAATCCCCCATGTCAGAAGACGCGTGTATTTTCAAGGATGCAGAGCCATTTTTTCTTTGATCCACTGGATAAACTCGGGCACGCGCGTGTAAACGTCTGGAAAACCGGGTTTGGCGCATCCGGATCCGAAGGAAGTAAGACCGAGTAACTGCCACTTTCCGGACTTCATGCAGGCTAACGGTCCTCCGGAATCGCCCTGAAAGACACGCGTAACGAGAATTCAAACGTGGCCGAAGTTGGATACAAAGTCAAATACCACCAACAAAGACACCTACCATGCACGTTCCTTTGCCCCCCACCACTTCTCCGGCACAGACGTGGAACTGCTTAATGGGAATTTTGAACTTCTCTCTGTAAGCTGCATCGCACACTCGGTTGTTGAAAACCTTGATCTCTACGGTCCTCAAGACGTCCGACGCTTTGGAATCTGCGGATTATAAGTATAACGATACGAATGAGTTGGAAAACCCGGCGTGGAACCGGTCAGATTTTCGACCTTCGAACACTTACGATAATCGGTTTTGCCCCAGCCGGAAGCGAAACACTTCATTCCCGAAAACTGCGTGACTTTATCCGCTAGACATATGGGTTTTACGTAATTGTTGAATTCTAACGGTTCTTTGAGTCGAAACAAGGCCAAATCGTTATTGTATCCTTGATACCAGGGATAATAATAAACGTGAGATACCTCTACAGTCTTCTCGCTATTTTCGTATTGTTTCAAATTATGTTCTCCCACTCTGACCTTCCAAAACTGCGGATGAACCAAGACGAATAGAGGACTGTAAAGAAAAAGTAAATTGTAGAATAACTCGATTCTGGGATTTGTTCGAGTGTTTAATTAAGGAATTCGCCTACTTGATCACGCAGTGCGCCGCAGTTAATACCCATTGCTTATCTACGATTACACCACCGCACCAATGTGGAATTTTACCGTGATGCGGATGATTCAGTTGCAAGGAAACCTGTAGTAAAATAAATGTTCTTTCGTCAAACACGACTTTCGTAAAAACATTTTTTTTTTAACTTCAGAAATCAGAAAGACGTTCGATGCCACGGCGTATGAATTTCTGTACTGGTTAAGAGGAGTATAAATGTGGTTTCGCCTCTCGAAATGCCTAAATTAACTCGGAGTTGGCAGAAACGAGACGAAACTTTCAAAAAAACAAGATTCGAGCCACAGATTTTTTTCAATTGCAAGAACTAAAACGGTTAAAAGCGGGTTTAAACCGAATGATTAAACCATTAATTAAACGCTGTTCTGGTTCGTTAAATGCAATACACAATCCACTAAAAATAATTTGAAGCGTGGCTACACAAACTTTCTCACTTACTTGCCACGGAAATTCTCCTCTAACGGCTAATCTTCCTCCGACAACACGTTCCAATTGAGGTTCGTTATCGTACATATTCACTCCACATTCTGTGACAAATAACCATAAGACCAAAAGATATAAATATCGGCCAATGTCGAACTAAAGATATCGAAAACACTTACGTTCGGTCGAAACGGCAGAAATCCCCAAGCATATGGGCAAAAGGAACCGGATGATCATTTCGGAAGATCTTCGCTTTCGCTTATGAAGATAAACAACAATTTGGCATCATTATAAGAATCTGGAGTGGGGTAGGTCGTCTGACGTCAATAAGGCAATCGACCTTATTGGCTTCTGACTTAACAGGTGGTTCTTTGAAAGATGTTTGAGGCTTGTTTCTACATCACCACCAAATTAACGATTATTATATATTAAAGAATTACCGACGGTGAATAGCCTGCTAAAATGTTCTAATGCTCCCAAAGTGTATAGTTTTTTTAGTTTAGGTTATTTTTAGAATTTCGTCTTAGTTGTTTCGTGTAGTATTTTATTACTATCGTCGTCCCGTCTTCAAGGTTGTTACAGAAGCCGGTGATAGGGTTAAGGTAGCTATATGCAAAGTTAGTGCAACGACCCATCGACCTTGGACGAATGACGACCGCGAAAAAGAAGAATACATTCGTCAAGCAGAATACAGAATTTTCGTATTTAAATTCTGCTCTAGTTTATCCTTACTGCACTTTCTGCGATAAACATCGCTACTGTTGTTCTTTATGGTTTTTTTTAAATTAACTGCTTACGTCTTAAAATCGCAAACGCGCTGGCACTTAAAATGCACGAAAACCGTCACCTAGAAGCGTGGAGCTACAAACCAATGATTTCAAAAAGAAATGACAATAAAAACACGCCAAAAATACATTAATACCAAAATTTATTTACAGGACAGTATTTAAAAAAAGGTTAATCTTCCAACTGGATAACAAAAAAAGCTGCAAATAATTGATGATACACGCATTTTTACTCCGGTTTAAGGACTTGATCTTGAACAAGACGCCCGGTGATGCAGTAGTAAGTATCATCTGTGGTTGGAATGAATTCTGTCAGAGATCAATAAGAAAAAACTAGTTATACAAAAAAATAATTTTTTTTCCTACGTGTGTGTATATATATATTAATAATAAAACAATTTGCATATATTATAGATACTTTTTCCTACATTTTTTTCCTAGCTTATGTTCTAAAAATAACTTGTTTTTCCATTCCCATAAATAGGCAAAATATTTTAGCTGTTAATAACTTTGCATACCAGTACTTATTCGACTTAAGTAAATTCTTACCAGTTGAAAAACAAAAAACTATACAATTTTCTATATTCTACAATTGAAGAATTTTTTTGGGTGGATTGAATTTAAAATTGTCTTACAAGTGTAACAAACAATAAAACATTCAAATTTCAAGAAGTAATTGCATACAAATATTTATCTTTTGTTCAAGAGAATTATCGTAATTATCGAAATGCGTGGAAAAATCACAAAAAGAAGTTTTGAGAAAAATATCAAATTCAAATTTATTTTCTAATAATTAATTATAAATTTTCGGAAATCGCAAGTTTGTAATAAAACTGACCGTACTTAAAATGTTCTTTATTCTTATTTTTAGCAAATTTAATTATTCGTTGATTACGAGTAGCCTAATATACTACTACTGCTACTAGTCAATTACGTAAAACAATTTTTCATCGTTTCATTAAATAGGGTAGCTGTATCCCTATTAGTTTAACTTTATAATACTCTATGTCCGGTATAGTATTTCATACGGCAAACAAACATTCAATGGTTTAATCGTGCACAATTTATAATTCAATTTTCTCTTCTACTCGTGCATCTCGAGTTGACATAAATTCTCAACCCCTCTACAGTGCCACGTAATTTGTACGTGCTTTCATAAAAGAACAACCACGGGTGAAAATTCAATTCCTGGTACAAGCGTATATCCAGTGTTTATAATTTTAAATAAATCTTAATCGTGGGGATTGTTGGAGAGTACATCTTATAAAATTAAATGTCTTATTCTTATCTTGGCTTGTTTATACTACATTAAAAACAAGACAGATGACCACTTGTTAACATTTAAAATAATCGCACCAACAATTATAAATATATAAAAAAAACTATGCCTACTCTCCACATTTCTACACCTTACAAGAATCATTATTTACTTTAATGATTGTAAAAGAATGTAAAAGAACAGCAAATTTCAGGCCACTAAAGTAAAGCTCTATCGTAGATTTTATAATCAAGAATTTTAGTGTCAAGAATTTCACTGCCACTAGCAATATACGGTATACCAAAGCCCACTATGAATCTCAATATTTACGTGTCTCAAGTAATCTGGTTGAAATTTTGTGTTAAACTTAAAAATTGTAGTAATGGGCATTATACTACTTCACGGGTTGTTTATGTCCAAATCTACATCACTATTCCTAGATTTCTTAACCGAATCGACGTACAGAACTTATGTGAACAGAATCTTGAAAAATAACTGTTTTGCTGTTTTGGTCTTTCTAACAGTCAAAATAGATTCGTCTATTTTAATTAGCATACCAAGATGTACTACACAACAACCTGAATCTGAAAGTGAATATATAACAAATGACATGTGAGCGTCTAGTATTTCCCCACCTTGCAAACTGTGCCAGATAAATGCAAGGAGACATTCTTTTCCAAACACTTTGTGTAAAATTTTTTATTCGCAAGACGACAAAAACTAAATCCAAAAATTTGATACTTACCCGAAATCTTCTGTACGTGGCCGTAACAGATCGGGGGCCGAACACAGAATAAATATACCATATGAGAAACGTAAGAATCTGTATTTGTCTTCAAAGATATCTGCCATTCAGTTGGTCTCAGACTAAATATTAAAAAGTCAAATTTTTGTATATCAAATATAAGCACACAAATCAAATAAAAATAAAAAAATAAATAAATATGATTTTTTTTGTATTATATCATAACAACTTTATTAACACTCAGATGTTTCTAGATCATTGTACTGTCCTTCAGAGCGCACAGAATTTGATTAAAATGTTTTGGAAAAATATTTCTTCAAATTCAATTTAAATTATTTTTATAAAATTAACAATATAATTCTAAGCACACATTCTTTACTTTACAACTTTTCAGTGCAAAGAATGTGATTTCCAGTTGTTGGACCAACAACTGGACAACATAAGATATATTGCTAACAAAAAAGCACAAGAAGTCAGGAAGAAATTGAATGTGAATTCTTAGGAAGAAAACATATATGAGATAGTTTTAAAATATTAACAAAATTAATACAGTACAGTATATAATTCAATCCTAAATCAGAAAACTGAATAATTGCTTGGCCTACAAAAAATTTTCAAATGAACATTATAAAAAATATGATATATCTAATATGCAAATATGCAGACATTCAACATATCAGTTTCATTCGAGGACTTTTTGTGAGTCAAATTGAGGAGTCATTTCAAGGACACCTACAGGAAGTGGACAATGTTCAAAGGAATCAAAAATCATATCAATAGAGTAATACAAATCTTTTTGAGGATTTAATTTTATTCTTATTGTAATTTGTATGACAATGTTGTTATTATTTATACTTATTGTATTACTCTTATACATGTGTACACCTTTCAAGTTTGTAAAGAATCTAATGGTACGTCTCACAAATGATTTAAACATTTAGATATATATTTCTGTAAAATAGCCTTTCTGTGTGATGTCTTGTTCAAAAAATTTTTATGTATACGTTTTTAACGTTTAGTTGGCTGATGAGGGGCAGTGCCCGAAACATGTAGTAATACATCAACTGAATAAAGATGAAAAAATGCCAAGTGTTTAAATACTAGCACGATTTTGTGTTTGAGAATGATAGAAAATTATAAAACACAGTTTCGGAAAATTGAAAACTTATTGTATTCTTATACTTGCTGTATTGTTATTATTATTATTGTCCTTTAACCTTGTTATAAATCCATAATTAGGATGATAATCTCAGACTAAGTTCTACAGAAAGTGTTTCATTCTCACTTTTCAGCCACTAATGATGCAAACCCACATTTTAGTTAAACATGAATACATCAATAATTGGCATATACAGGGTTCCTACTCAAATTTTTGTTTTGAATTCCCTGATTTTCACTGACCAACTTTGTCCAAATTCCTTGATCCTTACATTTCTTACGATGTGGAATATCGACATAATAAAACAGCATTTTTACTTACTGTGAACATCAAGTACATCTATCCTCCTTTTTGCACACTTGATACATTCCAAAGACTGTGCAAAAAGTATAGTACATGCATCCTATACAAAAATGTTTGATAAGATCCACAACTTCAATGTAACAAAAAAATAAGCAATTTACAAACAAAACATTGTAAGGAGTCAATGTCCTATCGTCATTTTTAGTTAGTTATTTTTTTTTTGGGGTCTTTTTATTTAAGGACAAATTCCTAAACACTCGCGTAAAAAATTCAAAACGCAAAGATACAACTTTGTATCTGTGACTGTCCCATAGCGTGAACCAATGTAAATTAGGGCAGTGTGGAGCTGCACCGAGATTCGAATAAAAGACGGATCGTCCACTACCGCGCATGGTGTAATTCCTACCGACGACCATTAGCAAAACATCAAGGAAAAGTGATTGAGCGTAAGCAACATATACCGTGGTTGAGTATTTCTTTTGGGGTGGAGATTAGATCTTAGATTGTACAATTATAAGAAATAAGAATCTCATTGCCTAATTGTTTATTTCTTGATTTTTCTGTTACTTAACTATTTGACAGTTTTGAAAATTATACTAACTTTGGTTATAATTAATCATTTGTTGTTATTGTTCAATCTAATAAATATTTATTGTGGATTTTTCCTAAAGTGTTTTGTTTTGAATATATATATATATATCTTTCGGTTCCCATAAAGTCCAGGCCTGGTACTTTTAATTAAATATAAACCCTAACTTGTGTGACCTAGCCTTTTGCATCACGTGGTGTGTTACATAATGAGCTGTTTTATTTTATCATCATTTATCATTATTATTTGTATGTGAATCTAGTAAACACAAGGAAGCATAAAATCAACAAACAGTATTCTCTGATATACAAATAGTTCTATACTGTGTTTAAAAAAGATGAACTCTTGACTTAAAAACATGTAATTTTGAAACCAATTTTTCAACAAAAAAGGCAACTGTTTTTAAACAGCAACATAATTTTAACAAAAAATTAAATTTAAAAATTTTCAAATGAAGTGTTTTTTCCAATGTGAAAAACAATCAGGCTACCTAGTTGATATTCAAAACTATAAGATACTACAGTATTACTACAGGTATGATCAATGTTGACAGTTTGTAAGCCCTAAATTTGCCAAAAGCAGTGATATTTGTTACCCAACTTTATGTCTATTAAACTAATTATTAAAACTATGTATCAAAGTGCAGGAAATTAATAAATTCTATAGTCCATTGCAAAAGTATAAATTTATACATTAATATATTTTATAAAAATTTCAATATACTGGAAAGAAATTATAAATTATGTTTTGTTACACAATAAAAATTATTAAAATAAAAAATGATAAATATTTGTAATTAAATGGTATTATTTATAAATTTTCACACTTTTTTCTCATTTTTTAAAATCAATTCATTGACACCTTACCTGAATTGAGGGTGTAAACAATAATTGTGGGAGAGGATAGGGTTAAAATATTTTGGAAAAATTTTAATTGATGTTACATTATCAAGAGTATTGCAGATTATTCTCTCAAATTCACGATAAAATGTTTTTAAAATCTCAAAATGTTTAAAATGCTGATTGATCTGGCAGTATATTACGAGGTGTGTTTTTTTAAGTACCATTTTGATATTAAAAAACACAACTGTAATTTTTAAAATAATTTCATTCTTACATGAAAGCCTGTACCTTAATCTACTTTTCAACATAATTTCTTTCAATATGAAGGCACTTTACACATCGTACAACCTGCTTCTAAATTCCATCCTCATAGAAACCTGCCACCCGATTTGCCAACCACTGCTGCATGGTATTTTGACATGATCATCATTGTCGCAGCGCTGACTGCTTAGATGCCTTTTCAAGTGGAGGAACAAGTGGTAGTCACTAGTTGCTAGATCAGGGCAATACATAGGGCGATCAAATTGTTTCCAGCCACATGTTGTGATAAGATTTTAGGTTCATTGGGCCACGTGTGGACGGACATTGTTATGAAGCAAAACATTCCCCTTACGAAGCTTGCCAAGCTTTTTGTTTTGGATGACAAAATCGTAAAGCGTCTGTTTTCTCAAACTTTTGCAACAACTTTCTACACCAAGTCTTCAGTAATGACAGCTACGCTCCTCGTCATGGACATTAGTACAGCTATTTTTAAATGCTCTAACCCATTTTCCATACACCTCACTTATCTGCTGATGAATGTCAACCGCTTTCACGTCTTTTGCATTAAAAAAACAAATCATCGTACGTACTTCACGATCGGCGGGATTTTCAATTGTCTGAGGCATTTCAAACACACACAGAAACAAACATAAAACGAACGAATGCTTCTGTAATTGCGTCTGTGGCTAACCAACAGATGTAAGTACTCAGCACACATTTGTAGAACACCAACTGTAGCACTGCAGCCATCCTATTTTAAAATGGTACTTACTTAAAAAACACTTTTATCTTTAAACAGGATATATCTTTCGCCATGTATATTTTCTCTTACAATTATCACTGTAATAAAATGTTTTCTGTCCATTTTATACCTCTAAAGCAGTTTATTCAATAGTTCATTTGTTTTAAAATTGTTTTGTCTAAATAGCAATCATTATATTTTTTAATAAATTATCCATTTATTTTCTGTTTGATGTAATTAATTTATTGATTTGGAGCTTCAATTTCATTTATATTGAATTTTACAAAATTCATTATAAATTGAATTATATTGCAATAAATTAATCTAATTACAAAAAACAGAAATTATAATCTAATATTTAACTAAAATAATCCTAATAAACTTGTATCAAAGTATTCAAATTATATAAAAATCATGAGTTAAATTTTGAAACAACACAAAGGTCTCCATGCATCAAAAATATATTTTATAATGATACATGATAACTAACTAGTCTGGCAAGACTATGTTTTTACAAATCTTACAATATAAAATGCTTGATATAATTTTAGAAAGGATATTAAAGATTTGAATGTTATCAATTAAGTCTCAGAAAATTAAAAACATGAAATGCTTTTTAATGCTCTTATGTATTTGTAAGATTTTTCAGCTTCATTGAAATAATGAAATAAAAATTGTATTAATTTTTAATATAATTCAGTTTTTTTTTCAATTCAATAGAAATTACCTTTCAATAAGTTTCTTGGCATTCACAAACATTATGGGGAAGGAGAATGTGTGTTCAATATCAGCAGCTTCTTTATTTTGATAGTAATTTAAAGCCTCCCTTAATTATATAAAAAATAAAAGTGTCATTAACAAAATACATTTTTATTAATATTAAATCTGAAACTGAATATTAAAAAAAACTTTTATTAATTATTCACTTAACTGTTTAATTAGTTTTCATTATTTATTTAATCATATCTTAGTTTTCATATATTATAAGAACCTGAAAGCACTATCTTCTGGGGATTTCTATGTACAAAAGTCTTTCTACCAATGCAACAATTTAAAATTCTTCTTGTTCTATTTTTCTACCCAAATTCATTCTATTCTTGTATAAGTAAATGTATAATTATGGCATAGTATTTATTCATCTATTCTATTCAAATTCAAACTTTTTCTATTGTTTTTCAAACTTATTTTATTCATTTTCTTCTTACTTTCTCCTTTTCCACCTAAGCACCCATTTCAAGCATTTGGCACATTATCAGTCATAAATAAATGAAAGTGAACAAGCTGTCTATTGGTGTTATCAGAATAAGAATTTAATTACTAAGAACAGAATACAAGCACTTTTGACAGTATATAACCATTATCCTCAGATATTTCAAAGTTAGAACACAATAATTCAAAAATAGAACATATGTTCGATTTGCTCTATGCACATAGGCATAGAGCATAAAACTTTTTTAAAATACAACACTATACCGTATGTCATTACAAAAGAAATGCAATATATGATGATAACGGTTTAAAAATTAACCAACTTAATATATACAGAACTAATTAACACAAATACAAAAACTCCCCTTTCTCCCAGCTTATTCCTTTCAAATAGCCATGCAATCTAGGATTGCAGTAAGTTGAATAGCACAACCCAAACGTCAGGAATATCAAGTGTAGTAGAACTGCTATATACATAGTTCAGTTATATTGGTAATTACAATTCTTATAAGATTTAAAATATTATATAAATAAACACTTTCTATATTGCTTAAATTTTTCTAACTTTTTAATTTTGTGATCTTGCCAAAATTGTGGTCAAGTTTATAGAACTTTTTCCCTTATTAGATATTTATCAACGTGGACATTAATCATTAACAGGACAATTATACTGGTGTTAAGCTTTTACACAAGAATTGAGGAAAAAATTCTTAAAGAAAACAGACTTTCTTTAAGAACTTTTTCCTCAATTCATGTGTAAAAGCTTAACACCAGTATAATTGTCCTGTTAATGATTAATGTCCACATTGAGAAATATATAATAAGAAATTTAAATATGGACAGTAAGGCAATAATAATTATGAAGTTTATAGAACAGCTAATTATAGCCAAGTATAAAGATAATATAAAACTAATATATAGATGGCTTCTTTATTATTTGAAAGAATAAATATATAAATAACTTTGTTAAAAATATTAACCCTAAATCAACAGGTATTGTACTTAAAATTAACTAGACATGTGAGTTATCAGTTAATTACCTGAACTGCTTTAAGTCAATTAGTAAATATCATACCATGGTATTTCACAGGCATACATTGATGAAGCTTACATATGAGGACCCATAAATCAGCTGCCTTTTATGATCTAGTTAATAAAGCCATCACCCACTCATCACCATAGACAGACATGTAGAACTAGAGTTCACCATATTAATGCATACAGCATCATAACAAGGCTTTCCAAGTAAAGTTATTAAAGTTATAATCACCTCACTGAAGAAAAAATCTAAATTGATTTACAATTTGTTAAATAGAAATAAGAATTCAAAAATATTTTCCTAGCATCAATTATTTCTCTATACTTATGTATGGCAGATACTTTCAATTAATAATACAGATGTTAAGATCTAATGAAAACAAAATTTTATACAAAATACAAAATACGACTGCCATTTTTAATCATGTTTCTAATTTATTTAATTTAAAATATACACTCTTGATCTCAAATCAGTAGTTTCTTGCCCCTGCACATCATACTTTTTCTGATAACAACAAAGTCATGCTGGTCATCTATGTAACTCCATTCTGCAAAAAATTTTTAAACTGAAATCATGTGATTCCTCTCTAGATCAAAATTTCATATACAGTTAATTGGAGCCTCCTGCCCCCAAGCTTTCTATATGTAGACTTTCATCTATAACACCATTCTTAAGATTAAGGAAGAACAGATATACATATGGCAGATAGAAGGACAAACAGTGGGAATTTATAGGTCTACAATTTTTTCAAATTGCAGTCCTATAAGTCAATATTATATGTAATTAGAAATTGGTCTAAGACAGACCATAAATGTTTGTCAAATAAACAGTTCAGCTGTCCAAAACAAGCCGTTTTATTTTATTGAAATAACAGAACTAAGATTTATGCAATTTAAAGATGAAAAACTCATTTAAGCATACAAAGTTCAGTATGAAAATATATAAGATACACCCCAATTAAACAGTTAAGTGAGTAATAAATTTATTATGGACTTTTGTTAATGTTGATTATTAGAAATATTGCAATAGATATTGATTAATGACAAATTAATAATTATATATAATTATCATACCAGTTATGAAAGAAAAGTTTCAATATTCTTTAATTTTCTTTTATATCTAATTTATATAAACAAGAAATCAATTCTATTAACTAAATTTCAAACAATTCAAACAAAGAACCTTTATAATACCAGTAATTTGTAATCAACAAACATTTTCATTCACGTTAAATGATTGAAAACACCTGTTCTAGAACATAAACAATGTATTTATTATCTTACCTTTTTATTTATTTATTTATTATTTTCATATTTATGTTAATGTTTAAATGTTTATCTTTACTCTATCACATGTCTATGTAGGGCTTTATGCCTATATCCATGGGAAATCTTGATACAGAATGTAAGAATTTTGACAAATTTGACTTTTCTATTTGTAACCTAGCCAAAAAGTATATAGACTGCTGTTATTAGTTAATGGATTTGTAGAAGTGAAAATGATCTTTTCACATTCTTCTGGAAATATAGGCTATAGCAGCAAAACTCCCGTATACTCTCCATCTGGTGGAATGTAATGTTCCATTAAATGCTACAATCTGCACTGGAAGCATAGTGTGGAAACATAGTGCTCTTCCACACTATGCTTTCCAATAGCAACAGTAAAAAAATAGTGTGAAAGAAACAAAATTGCACTCAAACAATAAATGCTCCACTCCAGCTGATATTAAATGTTTCATTGCATGTATGAAGAATAATCCCTCTTTAATAGAGTAGATGAAGCAATGACCAAAGACATGTAGAAGAAAAATCCTGTCTCAGTGAAAACTTTTGATATGGACAATCATAAGCATGATTTCAAAGTGATATCCAAGTTTTTGGCATGTGTCTGATAGAAATGTGTACTGCTGAAATCATATTTAATGCTATTAGCTCAGTTCTTTGCAAGTATAACCACAACTGGAAAAATATATGGCACTAAATGTAGATAATATCTCAATTAATACTGGCCCAGGAAATAGCATCACGAGAAGAACGAAAGAAATGAATACTACAGTCTACACATTAGGTTATCTTTGTCACATAGTAATACAATGCTGCATCATCATTCAAAAGAGTGACTGGATTTGATATAGATGATTTCCTTATTGATATTCACTTCAGGCTCAAATATTCAGAACTCAGAAAAAAATGACTTGAAGAACTTTGTGACTTCTGTGATATTCTGTGGACCAAATACTGATTGAGGACAAAATCTTTAAATTAAAATGCGATATATTTTTGAAATCACGAACTTCTTCACAAAGTAATTTTTGGAATTTACTTTGTGAAGAAAAACATCCACATTTGTGGAGATGTGCAGCATATTTGACAACTTTTTTGGATCCACTTTCCTCTGCAAATCTACATTTTCTACAATGAATGCAATCAAAACAAAACATTGCTCCCATTTGATAGCATGTTTATGAATAGCTATAAGTAGCTATGAACCAAATTATGATAAGCTTACTGAAAATATGCAATGTCACGTTTCATGCACATCCTCTGATACTACATAAATAGTTAATATTTAAAAATTGTAAAGCTAATAATAAGCATATTGCTTGCGTTAATAAAACTAAAATAAAAGAACATCTTGTTTTATTTACATACTACTTTTAAAATATATATAAATGGTTTGCTGTATATTAGTTAATATGACGATTTTAGTCTCTGTAATCCAAAAATATTCTTGGTAGACAAATCTCACAGCAATCTTATTGGTGTGAGATTTGTCTCACAGCGGTTATTCACTGAAGAGGGACTGGAAAATATTAGACCAGCCCGAAATGCATTTGATGTAGTCTTTACAAAATAAATTTAATTTGCCAATAAGATTGCTGTGAGATTTGTCTACCAAGAATATTTTTGGATTACAGAGACTAAAATCGTCATATTAAATACTACTTTTATGTTTGTGTGAAGTCATCATTAATTGCTGTTATTAAAATAACATAATATTGAATTGGTATTGGTATTTTATCTATGTTTATTTTCAATTTAAATTTATTTTTGGCTTTAAATTACTACTTTTACTGTTAGTAGACTGCTGCCAAATATTTCAAAAGCAGGTTGCCCATAGTGGTTAAAACTTTGGCCACCCATGGTCTATATGCATTCTTTTTGCTGGACGAAATCATATAGTGAATATTACAGTTCTAAAAAAAAAACATTTCACTCAATTGTCTGTAGCATTTAAGTGAAGCTGTTTACATAAGTGATTATATGAGGATTTATGGGTGACAAAATTCTAGGTAATGTCTCACAATAGGGAGTTGATAGATTTAACAGAGTAGAGTAGTAGGTCATTTCTCATTATTTCAATCAAATATCAGGAACATCTCCCATTTAATGACGATGTTCTTAATAATGCACCGTTTCTTGATTGGCACAAAGACTGTACTTCAGTCAAATAAAATATTTTGCAAACAGATTTTCAGCTGTCAGTAACTTCACACTATCTTATATGGACAAGTTATATGAAGAGTTCACCGATTTCATATGTATTAAAAAAAACTTAAATCCCAAAATGTGGTAAAT